TAGGGAGACTGAGACACAGAAGACACACTACACTTTGAAGGATCACAAGCAGGGAAGAGGCAGTAGATGAGAGGAGTGGAGGCATGGGAATGGGGTCCTGACGAAAGGACTCAGATCAGATCATGGCCATGCAACAGGCAAAGCTTCAATAAAGTTCCCATTACAGCCAACACCATACTGAGGGCTTCAAAGCTGCTAGTGCTAAATGTATAATCATCTCTGCCGACTACATGGGATGAAGACATGCCAAAGTCATTGCTGGAAGATAAGCCAACTTTATGTAGCTCCACATGTCTTCCCAGGCCAGTCTCTCCCATTCGTCTCACAGAAATTAAAAAGAAATTTGTGAATTTTTGTGTTTAACCCTCATTACCTGTGGGCAAGAGAGTTCACATTTTTACTCTAACACAGAGATTCACAGTGAAAATTGCAGTTCACATCCTCTTTGCATTCTTTGAGCAAAAAGTCCTCACTGAAATCACTGAGGAACTGTGCCAGATACTAAATTAAAGATACGACATTTTCTCTAATAAAATTAGGAAGTGGGGAGGAGGAGTGAGACTTAAAGAGTGTATTTAACTCTCAGAAGGTAGTTATTCCTGTCTTGTATCTTACCAGTGCAGATGCACCAGCAAACCCACTGTGGCATGAGAGAGAGCACAGAGCATCTCCTGGGGGAGACCTTAACAAGTGACAGCTGCTCTCTAGAGGTTGCCAGCCTTGTTTGTTAGGAGGTTTCAGGCCATGTTTCAAAGTTTGACTTCTCAGATTTGCCAAGAAAAAATGGTAGAGAGCTAGATTTTTTTTTTTTTTTTTTTTTTTTAAGTAATGTGTGTGTTTGAGTCCTGGGTTCACACAATGCTGAAATCCGTGTCTGATGGTGCGTGGATGGCAGTTTGTATCCGAAATAAGGTTGATTTTTAAATTTGCCAATAAGGTTGATTTTTAAACTTGCCATGGGCCAATCCAGCGCCGACTGAGCACTGATTCGCTGAGGCTCATAAGCATTCAAATAGAAGTAAACTTATAAAAGGAAGAGAGGAAATGTCCAAGCATGCACGGATACTGCTGTTCCCATTAGCTGGTTTTCAAAATGTCAACAGCCTGCTTCCACCGATGACAGAGCAGCACATTACTCCACTGAAATCGGTCCAGATTTTTTTTAGAGAAGGAGCAATTGTGGAAGAGCACTCACTGCTACTCTGGTCTCCAGATATAACCAGTCCTTAGACCAGTTGGCAGCATATGGTGTATTTCCTCAAATGACAGCTTTTGTTTGTCACAACATGAGAACAAAATAGTACATTTATTAAACAAAGCGTAATTAGCCAACTCTTTCCCTCCCAAAAAGGAACTGCAGAAGAGGATATTTTTTAGGACTCAGACGAATGTTTCCATGCTGTTTACAACACTTTTGTACGGAGCAATACACTCTGGTGGAACAATGCACCTGGAACCACATTTGTTGCTGACATCTTAAAATCAGGATGCTAACCTACCTATGGGCAAAGTGCTAATAAGCTACTCCCATGCTAGGACTACATAGATCATTATTATTGTTTGATTTTTTTTTTTTTTTTTTAGCAGAAAAGCTCTCTATCTGTACAAACCAAAAAATAAAGGATCTCAAAAGTAACTGTATTAAATCTTTCGAAATACAAATTTTTAATAAGGGATCTATCACATAGTTGAACTTCTTTGAGGTGACAGTGACATGACTTATAGAGCCTGGGCTCTGTGATCAAAAGGATTACACACATTAGCATCCTACTAATCACAGCAGGACAGGCCAGCCCATCAGGCCAGGACTCACGGAGGACAGATCTGTAAACAAACACTTTCTCCCGCTCACAAACGTGGATGGGAGCGGAGGCGGTCCAAGGTTGGTGTGGTCTTCTCCTCTTTCAAAGAGATAAGGACTGTGTCTGCTGGAGTAAATAAATTCTCAGCATAGCCATACACATCTGTTTGTTTACTCATTTTCAGACATTACCATCCTCTCCTCTGTCGTTATCCCTTTTCTATTACCCTTGTATGTATAATCAAATGCCCTCTCTTCTGGATTGACCCTCTGCTTCTTCCTGTATTATAGACGCCTTTGATCTTTCCTTCTTGCATCGTGTGTCCTGCCTTGTAGTCTCAGCAGGATTTCCCCCAGACCCCTTGCTCTACCAGAAAATAAATGCCAAAGTAGCGCTTGTATGCATTAGGGTAGAAAAAAATTAAGACAGACACTCGAGAAGCCTACACTCAAGTGCCGCTCGCTGTGCTGCTGAGGCACTGTGTCTGCTGGGCAGGGCTGCCTGCCCGTGAGGTAAGCCCAGCCTCGTGAAAGGTGGCCCAGCTCCTGAGCACGGATGAGCCCCCTGGACCACCAAGGGGAGCAGCCATCGTCACGATGGGGGAAGAGGGACCATCCTAAAATTTCAGAAATGGCCGTTAATTTTTCACCCTTTGTCACATACTTGGTGACTTGCAGGGTACCCTCGGCATTTCAAAAAGCAGAACTCAGCCTTTAACTTTTTTTTCTTTTTTTTGACTAGCTCAGATTTCAAACCCCCTTCCCTTGCCCCACCATTTGAGATGGTCCATGTTATGGCTGACAAATTCGATTAATATCCTAAATGTTACACTTGGGTGACAAAGAGGCTGCTGGTGGTTTTTGCTCTCTGCAGGCACTGCCAATACCAGAACTGAGGGTTATCTCTAGGTAGATATGAAAAGATGCCATTGGTTCACATAGAGACCTTAACGATCACATCAAGACCACTGAAAGGCTGACCAACCCCTTCCTTCATAGCTGGAACTGGTGAGTAAGCTTCCCCAGCAAGCCCGAGTCCACTGGCTCTTGAAACAAAGCACAATAATAAGGTTGCAGAAAGTGAGATAACCCTTTCCACTCAAGAAGTGGAAAACAACATCTGTTAAAAACCAAATAAACCGGTGTAATGGCTTCAGTAAGAGACCCAGAGGACTTTAGAGATGCAGCGCGTGGCTTGGTCAACGCATTGTGAACAGCAAATTAGAAGAGAACAATTGTTTCATACCAAGCTCTCCCACCCTTGAACTCCCTCAAGGTTAATTAGGATGGCCTTTGCCCAAATTAATTAGAAGAGAAGATTTGGGCAGGACTTTGCTATGCACTTGTAACTAGTTCCAAGGTGACCAAGAAGTTCAGAAATGCCTCACCTTCCAAATAAAGTCTGCTTGGAAAAAATCAAGCTCACATGTGCCATGTCACTTCTCTGACAATCAGAAGAAACACTTAAAAGTAATCTTTCCCTAACTAACGGCTAAGGCAGAAGAATTTTTTGCATCCTTCCCACTGAACAATATGCCCTTGTTTATTTTCTGTGTGCTTTTCAGGTCATAAGAGGCCACTGAAATTATGCATCTAAAGAACAATATACTACTGTAATATGCCACTTGATACACACGGCCCGGCAGCCTCTGAAAGATCCGTCTTTTCTAAGAGCTGCCGAATACATGTTGCAGCATGGAGTAATCCTGAGCATCACCATAGGAATGGAGGATGCAGAAATGGACCCAGCCTTCAAATCAACAGACTACACTGGTAATTTAGTTGGTATTCTAACATTCCGCAGTGGCACAGCTTAGGAGAGCATCCTGCCTTGAGGGGGACAGCCCTGCCCAGTTTCTCTGCCCTGCGGCAGCTGCCTGCCTTGACCTCCAGACTCCTGCTGCTCTCAGCATCCTTGGCAGAGGGAATAGCTAGAAGGACCACAATTTTTTCCTCCAAGTGGTACCACGGTGAGTGGGAGAACTGCCATAGCGTAGTAGGGTAGGGCAGATCTAACCTCTGTGATTACAAACTCAGCGCTGTCACAAATTGAGGCTCTCGCAGTGGCTGCACCTCTGAACTGCAGAGCCCTGCTCTGTCATTAATCTGATATTCTTTAGTTTGAAGCTGGAAGGTTGCTATTTTCCATGTGTCTGTTACCCACAAACAGCAACAGAATTTCTGGGCAGAACTGGAACTTCTAAAATAACAAAGAGAAAATGCTTCAGCTCATGCAAAGAAGTGTAGCTGAATACTTCTTGGCAGGACACAATTCTCATTGTCACTAGCCAAGATTTAATGTCTTGACTGTGTGGATCAGACTGACTACTCGGAACAGTTACATCGTATTTTCACTTAAAGACATGGGCTGGAGTAAGTTAACATGTAGGGTCCATGCCACAACAAAGCCATTATTCTCAACTCTTGACAAAGAAGAAAGAAAAAAAAAAAAAAAAAAAAAAAAAAAAAAACCACAAAACCCCCCCAAACAACAAATCCTTAATAGATGCAAGAGTCCTTTGGCACAGATCCAGTGGCAGACTAAGGCCATAATTTGTAATTCTGAGGCAATTATGAAATGACATAACAGCACAGATCTTCTGACAGAACAGCGCTTTTTTTTTTTGGTCTCCTTTGCAACAGTACGTGCTTTAAAACAACCACCAAAAAGGAAATAACCCCCAAAGGTCTATTTGACTGCTGTGTAAATATCGTAATAAGAATAAACACCAAGAGGGGCGACAGTTGGTGTTTCAAACCCTGATGCTACATCCCGGTCGGTGTCAAGGGGAGCCGGCACCGAGTCGCAGCCGGTGCCCCGGTCCCGGGCTCCGGGGACCGCAGCGACAGGCACGAAATAAAGGTGAGAGGCTCCAGAGAGCGGCACCGACCAACTTCCCCGGGATTCCTGCTCCGGGCGGGCTGCCCCGGGGTCCTGGGCCCTACGGAGAGCCCCCTTGAGAACCGGGGAGGGAGAAAAAGAGAACCGAGCAGGTGCAAAGCGGCCGGAGCAGGGATGGGAACCCGAGGGATGTGTGTGTGCGTGTGTGTGTGTCCCTTCCCCGGTGCCGCGCATTGGGACACCTCCGAATCGCCTTCCCCGCTCCGGTCGGTTCTTCCTCCTTTCTCCCGGCTCCTCCGGCTGCCCAATCCCCCCCCCCCACACCCACACACACCTCCACGACCTGCCGGGACTCACCTCTCCGGGTGGCCGCCGCAGGACCCTCGGGTGGCGGCTGGGGCCGCCGCGCACAGCGGCAGCCGGGAGGCGCCGAGCCCGCGGCGGGGCGGGAGGGGGGGGGGGGGGGGGGGGGGCGGGACGGGGCGAAGGGGGGGGGCGGGCGGGGCGGTCCCGCCCCGCCCGCCCCCCCCCCTTCGCCCCGTCCCGCCCCCCCCCCCCCCTCCCCGCCAGCGCGGAGCATCCTAGTTCCTCCACTGAAGAGACGCTGCGGGATTTTTTTTCCTTTCTCCCCCCGGGTGGCCGAGGACATCACCCCGCAGGGTCCCCAACACACGCCGTGGGGCTGGGGCAGCTCCCGGGGCACACCCCCCCCCCCCCCCCCACCCGCAAAGCCACGCTTACGGCCTGGGGCAACATTTCTTTGCCTTCAGCAAGCTGCAGGCACCGGCCCTTGAAGGCGTTACACTCCACTTTTCCCGGCTGGGATCCACCGATCCTCCTTTAATCCATCTCTGTAAATGCGTTTGCTTGTACATCAGGGAGCTGATGTCCTGCACCGGCGGTGAAACGTGTCCGAGCCACTTGCGAGCTAAAAAAGCCGAGCCCTGGAAGGTCTGGTTAGCTTCAGACGCCAAAGCCCGCCTGTCACAAGCCAGCTCCCTGGGCGTTCAGCTGCAAAGCCCAGCTGGGGGCATGTCCAACAGCAGTGCATCCTTCCAGAAAGATAACCCAGGAGGACCTGCCCCAGGAGCCTGCCCCGTCAGCAGCAGCCCTGCCAGGAACACATTGGGAAGGTTGGTTTCTCCAAAAAGTTGAGCAGTCACCTCCTTGCCCCTTCTCTCCGCAGCTGAGCTCAGCCCATGTCTTGGCTGAGAAAAAAAGACATCAACTTTCTCAGCACAAGGAAAATCTGCAGAAGGGAAGACCGGGGTCTGACAAGGATGGAAAGAGACCAGAAGAGACCCTTTCAAAGCAAACTGTGCCTGCCAGCAGCTGGCCGCACACCCGAAGGGCTTGTCCTCACCATGGTTTTCACTGTGACATCCACAAGCTTTTTTTGAAGCGTTGCTGGTCACCTGCTTCCCCACCTCTCCCCTCCCCATCATTTATTCAGCCTCTAGAAACAGGTGAATAATTTGCAAATCTGTTTTGGTTTAATGACACTCTCGAAAGGGTATGTTTGTGAATCATTTATTCCACCAATTGCTTGGGCCCATCAACTGCTTGCCATGTCTTAATTGACTTTTACCGTAGGCTATCAAAGCTCTTTGCACGTGTTCATAAGCTGAGTCTGTTTCAATATGTGCTCTAGTTAATAGCAGGAAAACCAGGGCAGTGAAGTTATGCGATGAGTCCAAGGTCAAGGGAGAAGTCTGCAGGAAGCCCAGAACTGAGTGCACGTTTCCCAGTGTCCCGGTTTCATAGGGTGCTGGGAGTAATTCTCATTGACCTGCTTTTCTACAGACATCTCCTTTTGTCTTCCAGCAGTGAGGCTCTGAGCCTGCAGCCGCTGACACCTACCGAGGGCAATGCCACCAGCGGCTGGGGACCTCCAGCAGGACCCTGCACAGGGACTTACACCCCATCCCTGCAGGGTACCTGCGGAGTTCTCCATGGCTCTTCTGGTTGGGAAACTCCCACATTTTCCCATAGTAAAACCCTGTAGCTGACATAGTCGTTCGGTAGAAAGTTCAGGTTTTGTCACAGAGCAGCTTCTTGTGGGTGTGGCAATAACATGGGTTTCCATCAAGGAAGCTGTGCTGGCACAGGTTACGGTTTATTATTTAAATATCTTAACTCTGACAACATAATTGGGAGTTGTGGGGTTTTTAAATACCTGTCTCTGCTGTCTTATATGAATAAAAATCCAAGATGATTTTCTTATCTGCATGGCAGTAGCTCTGAGGTGTTTTTTTTCTCCTTGGTTGTAGGAGACAGTCCTGTTTACATTCCTCCTTCCCCAGTCAAAAAGCTTTTGCTTCCATTGGGTAGTTACAATGCCCCGCACAGACCACATCCTTGCTGCCGGAGCTCTTGGCTCTCTGTTGGGAAAGCTGCCGTGGCACTGGCTTTACAGGATGGGAAGAGGGGGGTACAGGTTGGAGCTGCCACTCCAGCAAAGGAAATCTGCACCATTTACTGAACAATGTCAAGGTGAAGGGAAGAGTCATCTTTTTGTCTTCAGGAGGTTGCAGCCTGCAGACAGTATGATAAGAGCGCAGAGGACAGCACACCTCAGAGCTGCTTCTCTGCAGATGGGGGTATTTTTTGTTACACCTCATCTGAGAGCACTTTGTGAGCTGCAAAGGGGGGCTGCAGCCCTTGGAAGGAGGCATTTCTGCAGATTTGTTTGGAGGCCTGCAGTCACTGAAGATTTCCCCTGAGTGAAGTCAAAAGGCCTCAAGTTGAGAAACAGAGCTTTCCTCCTAAAAAAAAAAAAAAAAAAAAAACAAAAAAACCAACACCCTTGCTTCTAGCTCTCCTGCTACAGAGAAAAGCCTGAAAATCTGAGCTGAATACAGCTCCACAGTCAGGCACTGGAAAGAAAATTGCGTGATTTTTGAGACAATCTGAGGGATCTCTCAGGCTGGATTCACGATGAACGATGGATGACAGCTGGCAGCCTCAAGCCATGTCCAAGTGGGATTGCCCAGGGGCCTGGTGTAACGCATGAACTCATTAGTCTGTGGTTTGGGAAGTTCAGGTGTGCTGTGCTCCTCAGCAGCAGCGCAGTTTTCAGGGACTCTTTGCACCTGCTGCATCTTGCCCTCTGCCTGTTAGAGAGCAAACTTTTGGGGCAGATATTGCTTCTGGGTTTGCCTTAGCTCAGTGTCCACATCAATGGGGTTGTGGTCTCAGGTGGCTACTGCAATGCAAACTATGACTGCCAGGAGAGGTGCAAAGATGAAGAAAAGCAGAGGAGGCAGGAAAACAATTCTGCTTTTTGATGGTCAGAGTAAATGTGCACAACAGATAGAGCATTGCTCCCCTGCAAAGCCCATAGTCCTGTGGCCACCTAGGGAGATCTCCCTCTCCTGGCTCTTTCCAGAGAAGGGAACCATAATCAGACATTCTTCAGTTTAGAGCTTCAGCCTTGAAAAGGCTGGAAGAACTAAATGTGGCTGCAAGAGAAGCCTACAATTGGGGTTTGCAGACGAAAAAAGAGTGCTAAAGCCTCTGCCTTGCCATGGAGGACTCCTGAGATGGGTGAAAATCAGTGTGGTGGGGCAGGGTGACACAATGGGGCAACAGAGGAGAGACTCGTTGTTGCCCCTCTGCTTTGCACAGCTTGCAGGGGTCAAGGAGAAGGACAAAGAAACCATGAAGCCAAAGCTGACAGCAGCTGTGTGCGGCAAAGGTGGGTATCTGGACAGGAGCATGGAAGGGCTGCATGAACCCAGCAAGCAGTAAAGCTGTCCCCTGTGTCACAGCAGTCAGGTTCAGATCAGTGTCCTGTGGGACAGAGTAGAGCTGGTCCATGTGCCTGGGCAAGTGGCTAACGCCAGTACTCAGCTTCTCAGGAGACGAAGAGCAGCGCCTGCAAGTCTGAGTGAGTGGCTGTTATGGACAGAAATCGTGGAAAACAGAAACACACAAACACGAGGGAGACAGGCCAGATGGGGGAAATACAGATGAATTAATGCACAGGGAAGGGAAAAGGAAAAACACACAGGCATGCTGCAGGCCAGCCAGCTCTTCAGCAAAGCACCGCTGCGTGCCATTGCTGTGATGAGTGAATGGGAACTCCTGCTCTGCTCGGGGCAAGTTATTGCTGCTTTATGCCTTTATAATTCTCTCTGGCCTCAAAACCTCCCTGATCAGGAGTCCTCTGTTTATGTTTTATGTCCCATCATCAGCGTTGCTGCTCAGGGCCAGAGCTTTCCTGCCATTCCTACCGAGCTTGTTGCAGGCTTGGAACCTCATTTCTGGAGGTGATCCTGTGTTAGTGGCTTTTATATTGAAATCAAGCAGATTTCTTCTTAATTTGGTGTGGTTTGAAGTGACTAGGTGTGTTAATTATTCCCTGAAAGACTGTAACAGTTTTTGTCTTAGATCCAGTTGCCGGGAATGTATTTAGGAACATGCGCTGAAATCACCACATACCTGAAGTTTACCATAACTAACTAGCCACAGATGTGCTATTAAACCCGTGCTTATTTTTTCCTCTTGTCCGTCCTATATGACATGTTACAGCCATGATATATTAAACTTTCTTAGAACAGATGCTAGTCATAAACAAAACTGCTATTACCCTTTTGCAAGAAAACATGTCACATTACCCATCCCACCAGTAATCACCTGTTTATAGAATTGGCACCTCTTTTTAGTTCGGAGCGGAGGAGCTTCAGATATTTTATTGCTACATCAAGGGAAACACTAAGCACTGCTGTGGAGAGGGGATGTTTTCATTTGCCTGTTCTTTGGTGCTTCTTTAACTGTATTTTGACCTGGTATTTGGGGATCTAATTCTTGAACTAGTTTGTCACTTCCTAATCATCCCAAAGAAGCAGATGGGGCGGGTATGCGTTGAATTGATGGAAATAGTTCACGGTGCTGGGTGGTAACCATTCTGCAAGGACGATTTAATATACAGCAGTCGGCGTCTGTGCAAAGTGTTGGGACACAGGCTGCTGGGGAGGATTAATAGCGCTCTGATGGAGAATATTTTCCTTTAGGTGTAAGGACTCAGCTATCATGTCCGTTAGATATACCTCTGAGTCCTAAAGTATGACACATGAGTGTGTGCTGGAGGGAGAAAACAATGGGAGAAAATCCCTAAAAAATAGAAGACTAGTTAACACAGAGGAAGTGTACTCCCCTACTGTGTGTGTTTCTGAACATTGTGAAGACTGCCAAAAAGACTAAGAGGTGTGGCACACAAATTGCTCTTCAGAGTTTAGCTGGTTTACATTTGGGAAAGTTGGGTAGTGCTTCCAAAACTTTTGAAGTGCTAAATATTGTTAAAGTAATCCTTACATCTCTTTCATTCAAGGACTTGGCTCAGGGTACCCAGCAAATATTAATGAGTTTCTCATCATAACACCCAGGAGAGATGGGAAGTTATCACAGTAATTACCCCCGTTGCCCAGCTGAGGAACAGAA